ATGTAGCTCTACAACTTTTGTTAATGGAGTTTTTGCAAAGAATGAATGAATTAGGAGATAGAGGTGGATGAACTTGCGTTGTTAGTCGTTTTGTCAGGGCAGATGGTCGTGAATGCCGTGCCGTCAGTGGCTGACTAGCCACAGGCTGCGCGCGCCGTGTGGCGGCCGTACGTCGGTGTTGGCCTGGTCGATCGGGCCACAACGTAGTGAAGAGTGAGGCAATGTCGTTGCTCAATCCATTCCTCGCTCTCTCGCTCTCGCTCGCCTTCCCTCTCGCCCGCCAAGCAGCAGCGCCACCGTCGCCATCGCCGCCGTCAGTTTTGCACGCTCGCTCGTTGCCATCGCAACACCATTGTCCAATCACTCATGCTAGTAGCTCCGCCTTGCTCCACTCTACCACCTTGAACCACCATTGTAATCGCTCGAGCCCAGGTGAGGCCACATTCCGAGTCGCCGCCTCCGCCATGGCCGTGGTGTGCCGCCGAGCGCGAGCTCGCCGTGGCCAGCCACAATCCATGCACCTTTGCTCTCTCTCTCTCCCTCTTCTGGTCTTCGACATAGGTCCTAGCATCTTAATCCATCATCCATTTAGACGCTACCGCCTGGTTGCGCCGAAACGCGTCGCCGCTCTGCGCGCTGCCGCCATGGCCGTCGTGGCACTCGAGCTCGCCGTTGCCGAGCTGGTCCATCATCTCCCTCCTCTCTCTCGCGTCTTAGGTTGTGTAACCCTAGACCTTGCGTATGACATGATGAAGACCTACCTTTCGCTGCCGTCTAGCTGGAACGGTGAGCACTACCATGCTCCGTGCGCCGTCGCGCGGCCATGCACGCGATCGAAGCTCACCGCCGCCTCACCGAAACCCTAACCTCCCTAGATAGCTTTGTTTGAATTCCGTGAAGCCATAGCACACCTCACCAGAGCATGTGATGGCTGGAGAACATCGGCGTACCACCGCGCTACCTCCGCCGTCCGCCATTGCTGCCGGCGAGCCATCTCCGGTGAACCCTAGGTCGCGTCTTCACCATTAATCGACGTGGCTTGATGAGGGGAACATGTTGGTGTCACCGTCGTCGCCGATGATCTCACCGCCGACGAGATAGGGCTGGCCAGAGCGCCTCCCCTATCCCGGTGTCACTGACGCGTGGATCCTACTGACCAGCGGGCCCCATCTGTCAGTCTGTGTATTACTTGATTTCCTTATTTGTTTTCACAGATTTGAATGCATGTTTCAAAAATTCATATCTAGAGTAGGAGTGTCCAAATGGAGTGAACCAAATTTTATTGGATTCAACATGGAGTGTAGTATTTGATAAAAATATGAAACCTACTGTTTGGATGTTTTTCTAGGAGAATTAAATGGAGCTAGAGAAGTGCTTTTAAATTGTTTTTGAATCTTGTAAAATGCATAACTTGAGCTAGGAAGGTGATAAAATTGTGATTCCAATTTTGCTGATCTTGTGTTGCCTTGCTCTAGTTAGGAAAAATGTTGAACTTACAGTAAACTTGATTGGAGTAGGGTCCTTCTATTTATCTTTTAATAAATGGTGTTTTCTGAGGAAATTCATAAGGACAAAAATAAGTAACATATTGCCATGCAAATTTTTGTACAGTGGTAATGGGTTTTAGGGAAGCTAAGAAAAATATAAAATCTGTTGTTTGACACTTTTCACTAGGCTAAACTATTTTTGCTAAAATAAGATTATGCAACTTGTCATTTTTGTTGAGATGGCTATATTTATCCAAATGGTATGAAATTTATATAGTAGACTTTTGGGGTCATATGTAGGCTACTGTAATTTTCTCAGAATTTATTGTGCAATTGTGATATATTTTCCTTATTTCACCTTATTGTCCAAATAAATTAATAAAGACATTTAAATAATTTGTTTGGGCTTGACCATCATGTTTTCTAGAGTGTGTATGATGCCTATGAATTGTTGGTATCATTGGTTGTGCCCAATTTTGATTTCTTGTATGCAGTGAAAATATTATTGCTCTAAAATTCAATTATAGAAATTGTTTTGGATAGATTCTGTTGCTAGGTGTTTTGCATAGGTAAAATGGAGTTTGCTGTAAAAATAGTTAGTAATAAAGTTGTAGGGAATTCTTTATCTAGCTTGTGTCAAAATTTCAGGGTAATAGGCCAATTGGTTTGAGAGTTATAGCTGTTAGAAGTCGGTCCCCAAAATGCTTACTCTCTGGATTTTCTGGACAGACCTGGGAAGTTTACCTGTTTTGACTAGGATAGTGGTTGAATCAGCTTTTGGTGATTAAATGAAAGTTGTAGAAAATTTTAGAATCTTTCCAGAAAGTCTAAGATCATATGATTTGGATGATTAGAACTTTAGTTATGATTAAAACTTATAGCTGCTGTGTTGTGGTTCAGAAATTGACTTAGTGTGGATTCTTGAAATTTGTAGAGAAGAGATATATACCTACTCAGTAAATAAGAATTTAAATTTGTTATCATCCTAATGACCTAATATGATAGTCATCATTTAACCATGCACACTATCACATCTTGTCATCCATGACTCTTCTTATGCATTTATGATTCTCACTTTTTGCATGTGCATGCAATAGGTGCGACGAAGAAAATCACCGTGTTGGAGTACGAGGCCAATCCCAGGAAGAGCATCAGGAAGTACAACAATAGGAGGCCACAAGGGAAGGTGAGCCCGATGGTGAATAGTTGCTTGAGTGTCCAGATCATCAGCCCTCAACCTTTGTGAAAGGCAAGGCCCGGAGCATTCTAAGCCTCATATGTTTTCAAACTATCAACTTGAGTCCTTTTATGTTGATGCATTAAGTACTAGGAGTTGATTGGAACCACTTGCTGCATATATCTTCCTTGTCCAGATATATATATATATATCTTGAATCCTATGTAGGTTCAGGATCGAATATATGCTTAACCATGCTTAGTCGGTAGAAGTCGGATGATTACCTGTCACCTACATGATATAGGCTGATAACTAATCACGGTTGACTATATTTGCTAGCGTGGAATATAACCATGTGTCAATGAATAAAGGAGACCGGACGGGATCATGAAAGAGAAGCAACAAGGCATGAAGGTCTTGGGTTCCTATCTATCCCCGTCTGTGTCAATTAAGGACCAATTCGCTGTACGTCCTCATGTCATGTTGAATGCATGCCTACCACTTAGTTGGCCGGATCCGAGGATACGACTGCGAAGCCGAGTAGCTCAATTCAGGCTGGGCCCTGATAAGTGAAAGTGCGCACACTAGAGGTAGTAAGGATGTGCGGAGAGCCAATGGCATGGGTCCAAGGGTGGGACCAGGTCCCGATCTTCCTGGCAGATTGGTAGAATCTCTGAGGGTGCGGTGCTGATTGGACCCACGAGTTAGTCCTGAATTGTACCAAAGGTGACTTGAGGCTACCTTCGTGAGGTGTGCCTCAGTTTGTGTTAGGAATAAATTCTCTAGATGGGTAGGAATCGATTCGAATTGCCATATCTCCCGGATAGTGAGAACTTGACTGAGCAGCGGCAACGTAGAAGCACTAATTGAAACTTTTATGTTGATGCATTAAGCACTAATTCTCGTACTTAGGGTTTATTCCCATTTGTTGCAGATGACGTGATGCACCATGGTTACTGCAAGCATTGCATACCTCCTGCAGTTGATGGAGAGTAAGACCAAGGGCATGGTCATTCTATATTATCTCATCTATGTGCTTTTGTTGGAGATGATCTTAAACTAGCTATGTATTTGAACTATTGTGATATTGTTTCAAAACTATGTTGCCTCCGCTACTCCTAAATTTGGGTTGTAATAACTTCGTTAAAACTCCGATGTATGAAAACTATTTGTGAACTTGTTATAAAATATGACTAGTTGTGTTGAATCATGTACGATCTTGGATTATATGTTGGTTTGTTTGAGATCCTTCGTGATTTCATTGGATTACCTGGTTTATATGGACTCAAGTATGATGGTTTGATCGCTTCGGTGATTGCTATTGTACTTGTGCTCTTATAAATTGGATGGTTCTGTTAAAAAACTAGTATCGCGATTTGTTCTACTTCAAGTCCACGAGGTGTATTTTTAAAGATGAGAATGGGAATGATGCTTATCGGTATGTATTGCTATGAAGACGGAGATTCTGAATCCCCTAACTCGCGTGGTGGCTTAAAAGAGTGATGGATGGAGGGCTTGTGAAAGGGCCTTTGAGTTTGCTGTCCGGTTTAGCAGTGGGCGCAACCTGGTTGTGGAGTTTCTTGCTGCTGTGGTTTGGCCTGATGGGTCGAGGCCCTGTCTGTTGAGATGCATGGCCACCGGTAGTGAATGAAGTAATTGGTCGATAGGCGGTAGTGTTCTCTGCAGTGCATAGTTTTGATGTATAGCACATCTAGTAAGCATTAATTCACGATATGCCTATCAAGATATATATATGGTTTAGGACAAAAAGGTTGATGTCTAGTATCATTTAATAAAATGCACGACACATATAATAACTTCAGTGTACTCTAGATTCAGCGATCACTGCCGGTTCGAAACCCATCATCACTGCTGGTTCTCGGTTCAAGAAATCAAACTAGCAGTAATAAGATAAGGATCACTACCGGTTCAAGGATAGACCCAATAGTAATATGACAGTTATTACTGCCGGTTCTACCTTCTACCGGACTGTGATATTGCCATGACCCTAGATGGTTTGGTGGCTTGTGGACTCTTTCCTAGCATGCACGAGATTGTGCGGTGCTCTAGAGAGAGATCGCATTGTTGAGAGATATTGACCTTATTTTAGCTAGGGCAACCTCTATACTGCAGGTTTTGCTCTTAACAAGAGGAATCAGACTGAGGGACGCAAGAAAAGAGGTGGGAGTGAGGAATGGGCCGATAGGGAAGAAGAAAGTGATGACGAACTGATAATCTTTTCTCCTTTCAATAGTATTATATTGTATAGGCACAAATACAATTAACACAAATTTTACACACCACCTTATATGGTCCACGAATTAGCCATAAGGAGCTTATTTTACTAGGGCAACCTCTATACCGGGTTTATAGTTTATACCATGCTTTATACTCCGCATATAGAAGTTAGTCTTTTTGGTCGATGTTTGAATTGTCAATTTCCCCTCCAGTTCCAGGTTGCTAGGGGCGTGGAGCACCATGGTCTCGATTGTGATTCCCGGTCCAAAAGCCATCATCACTCCCCACTCCGGCGCATCCCCTCCCTGCTTGGCCGCTGCTGCCCGACGGCGGCGCAACTCATCGAGCACGAAGATCACTGTGGTGCCACTCATGTTGCCAAACTCGCTGAGCACGTGGCGACTCGCCGCCAGTTTCCCGTCCTCCAGACCGAGCACTTCCTCGATGTTGTCCAGGATGGCACGACCGCCGGGATGGATCGCCCAGAAAAGGTCGTTCCATGCGGCGCTGAGGCCGAGCGTGCGGAACGCGTCGACAAGGCAGCGTTCCACGTTGGACCGCAGCAGGCGGGGCACCTGGCTGGAGAGGTGATACTCCATGCCGCATTTGCTGTACTGCATGGAGATGGCGTCCTCGGTCTCCGGTACCGTGGTCTGCGACGCGAACGCCATCTCGAACAGCGGGCGCTCGACAGGGGCGACGGGGTCGGCGCCGACGATGACGGCCCCGGCACCGTCGCCGAACAGGGTCTGGCCGATGATGTTGTCGATGCAGCCTCCCTCGGGCCCGTAGAAGGCGATGAGCGTGAGCTCGGAGCAGGCGACGAGGACGCGCGCGCCGCGGTTGTTCTCCGCGATCTCCTTGGCGAGATGGAGCGACCGCCCCCCGCCGTAGCAGCCGTGGAGGTTGAGGATGGTGCGGGACACCGTGGGGCGGAGGCCCAGCAGGGAGGCCAGACGGCGGTCGGCGCTCGGGGCACGCGCGCCGGAGTAGGTGCTGAAGATGAGGTGGGTGATGTCGGTGGCCGGGCGTCCCCACTCCGCGATGGCCTTGGCGGCTGCTTTCGCGGCCAGCTCCGGGACGGCGGCGGAGGCGATTTCCACGCGCTCGTCCAGGGACGGCCGCGTGGGGTCGATGAAGCCCGGATTGGCGGCCAGAAGCTCCTCGTTGAGGTGCAAGTAGCGCTGCCTGATGCCGGACTTCTTGTTGTTGCAGATCCTGCTGAGCTTGGCCTTGAGGTCGGTGAGGTGCTCGCTGCTGGTGACGCGGAAGTAGTAGTCGGGGTAATCATCCTGGGCAATGCACGTCGGCGGGTTCGCCGTGCCGATGCCGAGCACGGCGGCCGGCCCATCCGCGCTCTGTGCACGCCTCATCTCGTGGACGGTGGCCGGTGCGCTCCCCATGGATGTCGACGTCGACACCTACGTATGTAGGTGCAGGTAGCTAGCTGTCGCACTCGCGCTCCCGGGTATGGATGGTTGCGTGCGTCTTGGTGGTTTGGAGAAGCAGGAGGAGGTGCGTTCTATTTATACCATTACAAGTGTATTATGTACGACGTGCTGGTCTCCTTCAGTTCGCAGCGTTCCGCGGACAACGACGTGCGTGCGTGCGTTTATATACAATTATTATATAATCGCATGTGGATTACAAGTATATATATACACACACACAATGCAAGAAGTACTTCTTATTTCTTTTTTCTCTTTCACTTCTCTATTGTGTATCTTTTCTGATGATTCTTTTTGATCTGTTTTGATCTGTTTTTGTACACATCAAACAAATGATAGACGTGCCTGCAATTAGTAATGTATCCCTTGCTGCTCGCTACATATATATTTCATTTTTAACCGTTTATTTGTGATATTGAGATGAGATCCGATCCGTTCACACAACTGTTACACAGCTCAAGCAAAGCTTCTCGTATAAAATACACTAGCAGGATGATACGCCTGACAAGTGTCGCATACACACGGCCGGGTTTATATACAAGTATATATATGGTGTATATGTGGGTATATATCAATGTACCATATATATTGCTTCGTCTGTGGCTTAGTTATTTTTGTTTTTGCATGTGTGCGGTGTTCGACGACCCGTGTGGTATTTAGGTGTTATATAGATGGAACATGGTGTGTGTGCTCACAATTTGATCATGCTTTTATGTGCTGGTTTGTAGCGTAGCATGAACATTTTCCAGTGAATAGACGTTGTTCTTTGGCCCAGTCTCAGTATTTCAAAGATGCCCATAGGGATAGAATAGAGTGTGTATGCATGTATTTCTACAGAGTGAGTGAGCGCATTTGTGTTGGAAAAAGCATATATTTAAGTTTCGAGGCAAGAGTAACCATATCTGTTGAGGTATAGGAAGAAAATAGAACAGAACACATTGGTGCTCCATCTTTACAACGAGGGAGATGGCTGAGAGAGAGAGAGAGCAAGTGGTGGAGAAGAAAACCCTAAGTCCTGAATATTTAGTGGCCTAGTGTGGGCTAGCGGGCTGTGCCTAATTTACCGAGGCGGTTCTTTTACAATGCCCAGCTCGGTTAATGATTTACCGAGGCGGTTATGTTATAATGCCCGCCTCAGTTAATACTTATTAATCGAGGCGGTTATTTTACAATGTTCGCCTCGGTTAATGATTTACCGAGGCAGTTATGTTACAATGCCCGTCTCGGTTAACAAGTATTAACCGAGGCGGTTATTTTACAATACTCGCCTCGGTTAATACATTAACCGAGGCGGTTATGTTACAATACCCGCCTTGGTTAACAATTATTAACCGAGGCGGTTATGTTACAATGCCCGCCTCGGTTAATAACCAAGGTGGTTATTTTACAATGCCTGTCTCGGTTAATGTATTAATCGAGGCGGTTGTTGGCCCGGCTGTCCTGCCTCGAATAACTAAGGCGGGCAACCGGACTGTCCGCCTCGAGGCCATTTTGGAAACGCTGCGCAAAAGATTTTGTGTAGTAGTGTTTCCTAATACCTCTGTAAAGGCTCTAGGGGTGACTCCCTCTGATCATTGTCTTTGCTTAGTGTCCTTCTCAACAGCTATTCCAAGAAGCAAGATCTTCAGGTTTAAAATTTTTTGGCTGCAACACAGTGGTTTCATGGATGTTCTCTCTCAAAGTTGGGTTGTCCCAGTTCAGCAAACAGATCATGCTAAGGCTCTAACAACAAAGTTTAAGCTTCTAAGAATGACTCTCAAAGAATGGCAGGCTGGTTGGTCAAGCCTCAAGGATATAATTTCAAATGCTAAACTACTGCTACAGTTCTGGAGTTGTTGGGTGAGTACAGAGATCTAAGTTTGGAGGAATGGAATTTCAAAAATATCCTGAAAGATCATCTTCTTGGGCTTATTGAACAGCAAAGAATTTATTAGAAGCAAAGAGGTGCTATTAGATGGGTCAAGCTTGGTGTTGCAGGGACTAAATTTTTTCATGCAAATGCTACCTTAAGACGCAAAACCAACCTTATCAGCTAGCTGGTTTCGCAGGATGGATCGACAGCCACTACTCACAAAGACAAAGAGCTCATAATTTGGGAAGACTTCAAACACAGACTTGGTGTTTCAGAATTCGAAGGGTTCTCTGTGGATCTAGCTGCTTTTGTAGAGAGAGTAGAGGGTTTAGATTTTCTCGAAGAACCATTCAGCACAGCAGAAATCGATGAGGTGGTTAAGAAACTGCCAAATGATAAATCCCCAGGTCTTGATGGGTTTAATAACAAATTTCTAAAGAAATGTTGGCCTACAATAAAGGATGATTTCTATGGACTATGCAACTCTTTTCACAGTAATTCTCTCTGTTTTAGAAGCATCAACTCCTCTTACATCACTCTTATCCCAAAGCTTGAGGGAGCAAGATTTGTTTCTGAATATAGACCAATCTCATTGCTGAATACCTCTACAGAACTGATCACTAAGCTATTGGCAAATAGGCTTCAGACAGTAATCTGCTCCTTGATACATAGAAATCAATATGGTTTCATTAAGGCAAGAACCATCCAAGACTGCTTATCTTGGGCATATGAGTACTCGCACTTATGTCACCACTCAAAAAAGGAGCTTGTAATTATGAAGTTAGATTTTGAAAAGGCATTCAATGCTAGAAAACATTGTCTCTGGAGAGGTTCAGACATCAATGCTAGAAAGCCTCCCAAGGCTGCCTGGAAAATGGTGTGTGTGCCAAAGGAAGGAGGTTTGGGAATCATAGATATTGAGAAACAGAATTAGGCTTTGCTCTTGAAAAACTTAGACAAATTCTTTAATAGGATGGATACTCCATGGGTTCACTTGGTATGGGAGAAGCACTATAGAAATGGGAGGCTGCCAAATCATGTTAAGAAATGGTCTTTCTGGTGGAAGGATGTCCTCAAATTGTTGCCTATCTTCAAGGATATGCTGTCTGTCCAAATCAAAAATGGGCAAAGCTGCATGCTCTGGCTTGACAAATGGGATGAACAGCCACTCAGTCAAAGAATGCCAGAGCTGTTCTCGTTTGCCAAAAATAAATCCATTTCAGTAGAGAGAGCCTTCTCAGAGAATCATTTGTCACAACTCTGTCTCACATAGCCTTTCAGCAGATGCAGTCACTTGAGGAAATGATTACTCAGAGCTCCTTAGTTCCAGAAGATGATGTCTGGGGTTTTAGATGGGGCACCTCGGTTTTCTAATCATCCAGGATTTATAGAGTTTTAGTAGGACATCTTGAAGCAGATCCTGCTTTTAACTGGCTCTGGAAAAGTTATTGTCAGCCCAAGCACAAAGTCTTCTTCTGGCTTTTGATCAAGGATAGTTTAAGCACTAGGAATTTATTAAGAAGAAAGAATATGCAGCTACATTCTTTCAATTGTGAGCTTTGCAGCTTGTCAATGGAAGAAAGTGTAGAACATTTGTTTCTCACTTGCCTGATGATACAGGCTTTCCTGCAGTAGTCTCCACCTTCAAGGATCAGTTAAACTCACAATTTTTCATGGTGGCAGTTATCCTCATGAGTTGGATGATCTGGTCGGCAAGAAACAAGTTAATCTTTGAAGGCCTGCAACTGAATATCCAGGACTGCAGAGTTTTATTTCACAAGGAGATCTTAATGGTCAGCCACAGAGTGAAGCCAAGTCTGAGTGTTTTGTTTGATCAATGGATTGCATCTCTTGTTTAGTAGCTGCCCTCCTTTCCCTCTTCATTTTCTTTGTTTCTTTTTTTTTTGTCTCATGAGCTCTTAGCTCTACTTAACTCTCTCTTGCTTTATTTGATTCTGCTTGAGCCCTGTACTTGCACTTGTTTTTGCTTGTTTTTTTTAATCTAATAAAGCTTTCTGTAGGGGCCTCGGCCCCTCCAGTTTCGTCAAAAAAAAAAAAATGTATCAACACACCGAATAGACTATTATGAGGATCATGGCATGCCGTAGCACTGACATATACGAAAATCTGAAGAGGCAATTATCGGATAATCATGAGTGGCATTAGGCAATCTTGCTTTGTTTGAAGCTAATAGACTCGACAAATGGTGCTTTTGGATTGCTGTAATAAACTTAGTTTATCAGTCATGGTGATCCTTCGTGGCTCAGTAGAAACATTGTGATGGAACCTATCCTAATTATAGTTTGGTTGTCGTTGTTGCTTCCATGTTTTACTTTGAAGATGGGTGTTTGTTGCCGAGTTTCTCACTTTGGCATGAGGGAAGGGACGTTAGTGACTTGAGCTTTTGTGGTGCTTGGGATGTTACAGGCTGTGCTGCTGGAGGCGGCGGTGGCTGGGGGTGCGCGGGCAGTACCAATGACGCACGCAGGGCAGTGGCGCGGGTGATCTGTTTTGATCTGCTTTTGTACACATAAAACAAATGGTATACGTGTCTGCAATTAATAATGTATCCCTTTATGCTTGCTCCATATATATTTCGTTTTAAGCGTTTATTTGTGAGATACTGAGATGAGATCCGATCCGTTCACACAACTGTTACACAGCTCAAGCAAAGCTTCTCGTATAGAATACACACTAGGACGATACGCGCGCACAGTTGGTGGTCGCGCCTATGTGTCGCATTTGGCCGGGTTTATATATCAATGTAACATATATATTGCTTCGTCTGTGGCCTATTTATTTGTTTTTGCTTGTGTGCAGTGTTCGACCTGTGTGGTGTTTAGCTGTTGGACGACTATCACTGTATAGATGGAACATGGTGCTCACAATATAATTTGATCATGCTTGTAAGAGCTGGTTTGTAGCGTAACAGAATATAATTTATTGTTCTTTGGCTCAGTCTCAGTATTTCAAAGATGCCCATAGGGATAGAATAGAGTGTGTATGTGTTAGAGTACGTCAGGGGTCTATTGGGCCTGGGTTGGCTGTATAGCCCATTAGTGTTAGGTTTAATTAGAGATAAGGGTCGCTTACTTAAGGGTCA